TGACGCAAGCACAGAATGGATCCACAAGGATGATCCAAGTCCAGCTCCTGTCCTTGTCCAGACCCCCAACAACCCCACCCTGGGCATCTTGAGCTGGAATATCCACAGGGGTCACTGACCCAGTTCCTGAATCCCCAAACAACCCCATCCTGGGCATCCTGAGCTGGAATACCCACAGGGGTCACTGATCCAGCTCCTGGACCCCCAAACAACCCCAGCCTGGCATCTTGAGCTGGAATACCCACTGAATCATTGATCCAGCTCCTGAACCCCCCAACAATCCCATCCTGAGCTGGAATATCCACAGGGATCACTGATCCAGCTCCTGAACCCCCCAACAATCCCATCCTGGGCTGGAATATCCACAGGGATCACTGACCCAGCTCCTGGACCCAGCCTGGGCATCCCTGGAGCTGTGGCAGCCTCGGGGCCGTGCCCATTGCCTGGGCAGCCTGGGCAGTGCCAGCACCCTCTGGGGGAAGAGCCTTGCCCTGATCTCCAGCCTGAGCTGCCCTGGCCCAGCCCCAGCCGTGCCCTGGCTGCTGTCCCTGCCCCAGAGCAGGGATCAGGACCTGACATGGACTGGAAATGCTGAAACTGCAGGAAAACCCTTCTCCTGCTTCTCATTGTCAAATCTCAGCTGCTGAGCACACAGGAGGAAGCAAACTCAAACAGAAACCCCAACTCTGGACTGGAGGCCAAAGCCCAGCAGCTGAGGCACGTGCTGGGATGGAGCAGGTGACTGCCCCCCCCCCGTCCCACTGCAGTGTCCCAGCACCACCAACAGCACCAACTCCCCTCCTACTCAGTGTTTACACACCCCCTGCAGCCCAGCAGGGCTGAGGCACCTCTCTGCTCAGCAGGGAGGAGTTAATCAAGCTTTAAAAAGGAGTTTATAAAGTGTTTAATGAGTAATAATGCCCACCCTGATCCAGGCTCCTTGCAGCATGCTGCCTGTTTACACACAGGGTTCAGTCCTGGCCCTGCACAGAGCCCTGCCAGGCTGAGCAAGGAGCTCAGCAATCCCTGCTGGGTGAGTTACAGGGCAAAAAAATCCCAAAAACTGTTCAGATGCTCATGGCCCACCAGTGACCAGCACTGGAGTGTCACACCACCAGCACTGACCTCAGCCTTGACTCTGATACTGCAGCACCACTGCCAGCAGGACCAGGACCTTGGGATTATTTTTATTTCTATTCTAAAATAATATTCTGTAGATCTCATCTAAAACAATATTTTATAGATCTTAACTAAGACAATATTCTATAGATCTTAACTTAAACAATATTCTATAGATCTCAAACAATATTCTATAGATCTCAACTTAAACAATATTCTATAGATCTCAACTTANGCACCTCCCTATGAATCCCACCACACCACAGTCCTGGTTTGTTCTTTTTCTCCAAAACAGCAACTTCAGGGTTCCAAGGGTTCCAAGGTTAGTATTTTTTACACCTGGCTCATGCACAGGATGGATTAAACATGGAGGAAATAAACTGGCCTCAGCTTGAGAGGAGCATCAGACTTGCACCAAGCTGAGCTGCCACACATGAACATCCTCCTACCAGCCATGATTTTCTCCTCTGTCCTTCCACAAGGGGCTCACTAAAGGCAGAAGGAACCAGGCAAGGCAAGGAAATCTTTCCATCCAACTTCCAGGAACCTACAGGAACAAGCTACTCTTTCACGTCACTCCGAAACCAGATAAATTCTCTTTTTTCCAAGAAAACCAGTGGGGATTTCACCCTAAATCTGCCACCTCCTTGCTGCTGTGAGAGATTAAATTAACTCTGGCTGGGCTCTGTGAAGTTCCAGCTGCAGGCCCATTATCTGTGCCCTGCTCTTAACCCCTCCTGGGCTCACCCTGCCCAGTTACTCCAAACCCTCAACACAGCCCTGGCCTTTCTGCAAGAGCCAAAAAAAGGTGGCCAGGACTGCAAACAGAGCAGCAGACAATGCCCCACAGCCCAACGAGGCCTGAGCTCAGTGAATCCCAAAATAAACCTGCTCAAGGCTTGGGACACCTGTCCCTAGCTGGATTTCGAGCTGTTGTTGTGCAGCCACTCTCTCCTTGGATGAGCCAAGAGGTGGAAGGTGAACTGAGAGATGGATTCCAGCCTGGCAGGTTTGGAGTTGGATCAACCACACACACACACACACACACACACACACAAACCTTGCAGACAGAACAGAGAGCCCTCAGCATCACACTCACCCAGCAGCCTCCAAAAGCTGCCATTTCATTTTTCCCCCTCCCAAAACACAGATTTTTTTCCTCCAGGCCTCTCACTTACCTCTCCCATAGCCCGTCCCTCCAGAGCCAGCGCTTGGAAGTCGTGATTCAGCTCATCCATGGAACGCACCTATCCACAGAGGGGACAAAAGGCCATGAGAAATGCTTTTCTGTGCTGCTATTTTTATTATAATCACAGTTCAGAGCCATTTTTCTGCTCCACACTGAGAGCCTGGAACAAGGTTATGGAGCTCCAAGGATGACTTACCTTTAACACTGCCAGCAGTTACAACATTTCTATAATTTCATTATTATACACACACATGTATTATTACACACAGATTTATTTCTGTGTGTTAGATTTATACATGCACAGGAAAGGAACAACCAGCAATTACTTTTAAGGCACACAAAGCCTAACACAACAGTTTCTGCTCATTTTTCACAGTGGTTTCAGGTGAGGGAGTCAAGGATGAGGAGCCAGCATCATTTCAGGTGGGAATCAAGGAAAATCTCCTGTATAAACCTGGCAAATTTACAATGTAAATTACCTTTACAAATTTACAGGTTACAACGACATGAGGCAGAAAAAAACAACACTTTAATTTGATGAAAACTGAGTCATTTAGAACAGAAAAATAAAGCATAAACTTGAAACTGTTGGATAAATAAA